AAAAGATTTGTTGGGGTTAAAAAATGAAGATCCGATAGAGCGCGCGGGAGTGATAGAAGAAAAGGCGCGTTTTTTGCTTCGCTTTAAAAACCTGTTGAGGATGCCGCAATGGAATGCGACTACATATCCATCCGGACGAGACAGCATAATTGGAGTCGAACTTCAGTAGGTAAGTTCGTTCAACTTATCAATTTTATTGTTTGACTTATAATTGACTTATTAATATTGTTTATCGTGACAGTTCGTTAAATATTATAATTTCATTACGTTGTCGGCTAGCTTTTGACAAGATTGTCAAAACGTATATTGTTCTCTTCTAAATTATTACAGAATAAATTACATATTTATCTACTAATATTATTTTACTATCCTGATTTGCCCGTCCTTGGCCGTTAACCTTCTCATATTGCTTTACAGCCTTACATTTCTTTTATTTGGTAATTAATATAATAAATTCTTTAAAAAAAATTTACTACTTCAAAATACTGAGACCATTCGCAGAAAGATTCACTAAGTGATTCGTTTTAAGATTTAAATGTTAACGCAAAGATTTCTGAATAAAACGGATTGTTTAGAAAAAAATTTTACGTAAAATTTTTGTGCTTGTCGAAATCTTCATACATTGATAATGGGGAAGTTTGTCTTGTTTTCTGTTTTATTACAATACGCTTTCTTCATATCCCTACATTTTCTGTAGAAATTTCTTAAGAAATAGATTTTTTAAAGAATAAAATCATCTGTGTAATCAAATGTTAAAGAATACAATTTTCATAGGAGAATTACAGAAAAGATAACTCAAAATGTAATTTAATTGACAAATATTATCAAGAAAAAAAATGTATGTCTGTCCTACGTAAAAGGACGCACAGAGTTTCGAATCTACAAAGAAAAGTTTTAAATCAATTTATAAGCGAAAAGATTATAGATTTTTTTAGGTGAGCATTATTAATCCGTTTTGACGAGAGTTCTGTGAAATTTTCTTTAAGAAGAGTCTTCTGACGTGCAAGAGAACATTTTTCACATTATACTGCACGTAAGAATATTGCATGCTAGCGCAGTACGAATATAGCAATGTAGCGGCGCGATGCGGCGGAGCGCTCACGCACACTACCAGGCGCGCGGCTCACTGACGTGCTTCCGTCTAAAGGACAACGCCGATTGGATTAGCTTTACTCAATATTTACTGCTTCGTTGAGCATTGTAGAAAAAAATGGTTCAGAACTTTCTGACTCAATTTTTAGTCAGGAATAACGCTATTATTAGTGGGCGCTATTTAATTAACACCCTGTATAATATATACATTTATTTTTTATGACAGTGCCACCAATTGAACAGTTTAAATACATTTTGCACAGCGCAATTCGATACAT